CCGGTAAATTATCTACCTGTTCAGAGCTGTTATCAAAAAGGAAATGGCAACACTAGCTATGCCCAAGAGCTGCAAACAGTAAGGATAAAAGGTGACTTTGTGGGAAGATGCTTCATCAACTGAAAAACCACAAATGTAATATATTAAAGGAGGAATTTCACCAACTCTTGGATGAACCAATAGAAAGGTTTTAAAATCTGCCTGTGAGAGGACATAACAGTTAAGCGTGTATCATGACTCCAGGTGGGAATTACCAAACCCTCTTCCCAACATGCTCTTCAGGCAACAAGCAGGAGAGGAAGCAAGCTTAGGAAATCTTCCACACCTAGTTGGGGCAGGGGCAGGAGGGGTGACCCTCCCACATATCCCCATGGGGAAGCCCTGGATTTTTTTTCTTAACTTAGCGTGCAGTAGGTTTCCTTCTCCCAAAAGCATTCTTTTCCCCTCCCCAGTTACAAAGAAAAAAAGATGGTCTCTCAAAGGATGTGAATCCACAGACATGTGAATTATCTTGGTGGGTAAGGGTGGCACTCTTTTCAATAAAACTACTGCAAGATAACTATAGCTTCACATGCGGTATACAAGAAATAACAGAGATCACGTGTACGCTTTAAAGCAGTTTCCCACAATGGCAACATCTTGCAAACTACAGTACAATTCATAACCACAACACTCATGGTGATACAGACAGACAGACCACTGCCATCCCAAGGATCCCTCCTGTTGCCCTTGATTGGTCATACTCACCCTTCCACCACTCCTCATATGCCTAACCCTACCAACCACTAATCCATTCACCATCCCTACAGTTCTGACACTCCAAGAATGTTATGTATATGGAATTCCAGAGTATGTAACCTTTCAGCACTGGCTTGTTTCATGCAATGTAACTGCCTCAAGATTCATCCAAGGTGTTATCAACAGCTTGCTTCTTTTGATCGCTAAGCAGTACTCCGTGGTATGGACGTATCTTGGTTTAACCATTCACCTACTGAAGGACATCTACGTGGTTTCCAGTTCTTGGCTATCAAGGATAAAGCTGCTATGAGCATTTGTGTATAGATTTTTATGTAAACATAAATGTTCCTTTCTTTGGGAGAAATGCCCAAGGGTGAAATTGCTGGGTCATTTGGCAGTTGCCTATTTACTTTCTAAGAACCCACCAAAGAGTTTTTACAGAGCTGATTAAAAAAAGAAAAAAAAAAAA